TCATTTATTCTCAAGAAACTACGTTGGTTTATATAAGAAATTATTTATAATAGAAATATTCCTACATAAATATCTTCAAATGGAGCTATTTCATAATTGGTCTAATTAATAACAGAAAAAACGAACTAGTATGATTATGTTAATGAAACAAATAGTTCTTTAATACTATTTTAAATTTTTCTTTGTTAGAAATTGTTTGTTATTAGGTTTCATTGTTTCTAATGAATTAAAAGTGCAAATAAATGAATTGAATGACCTCGTAGATTTAATCATGGAATCAACAGTTCAATTCAAAATGATGAAAAGAATACAGTAAACAAGTAAAAAGTTTTGGAAACCCTACAAGAAGTAGCAGTAGTAACACTTTGTGTGCGACATGAATATTTTAAATTAAGTTTTTTTTCATTACAAGTTATTGTAATATACCCTTCCAGGACTTTTTCTGAACTGTTTCTCCAAAAGTTATTGCTACTTTCATTATCCCAAAACTTCTGAATATAGTGAATTCAAGAAACGAACAACGAGATAAAAGGGGCGATGAAACTATTTTTAGTAAACAAAGATACTGAACATTACGAGATAATTTCACAACAAATTTTACTAGCATGTTTGTTGGTAACTTACCTGTTACCGAAAGCAGTTACCTAAAAATAACATTAATATTCTCAAAAATAAATTCTCGAGAGGAACAATAAGAGGAGAAGTTAGAAATTACAAATCTAACTCTGAATTCTTGGATAAATTCAGAACTAGAGACCCTGAAAGAGGCCTTGCCAGGACCAGACGGAATATATCCAATAATTCTGCAAAAAGGATCGAAACTTTTACTTTGAAAACCGTGTGTAATTATCAGATCAAATTTGGCTCTAATACATACCATACCCGGATACTGATAGGGCCAACTTCATTGCAACACCCGGGAAAATGGAACAGGACATAGCGAAGGCTTTGAGTTTCATGTCATCTACATTAAAAACATCAGAAAACTTATGAATACACTGATCCATTATTGGATGAATATCAATAATACTATCCATGATAATAATTTTCACATAATGAAATTTTAATCAAGACGTGTTTCACTACATGGTAGCTCCATCAGTTTATAATGTGAAAATTGTATAATTATCATCAAGGATCGGAAAAACTACATATTAGGCATATTAGGAACGTATTACTAGCTAAAAGACAACTTAATCGAGACCAATTTGCAATCAAGACTCCTTCAGATCCCAATCTTACGAAATAGACGAGCTACTACATATCCTGGGCTACAATTGATCTAAAATACAATGAAGACCTAGTCATCTACGTTCATAAAAAATACAATAATATAGTTAGGTAACTCATGTACCAGGTCCTAAATATTATAACAAAATGGTCTGAGACCCATCTAAATCGACCGTACTTACTTTCGCCAAGAGAATCAAAATAGAGGGATCTGTACAACTCCAAGATGAAGAGATGTAACTGTTAGGGGAGGGGTTAAATTTATGTGAGTGATTCTAAAGACAGAGGTAGCACTGATGCTGACTAAATACTTTTACGAGAGACATAGGTGCCGAAACCTGACAATAATAATAAGAATTTATTGTGTCATAATAATGTGAACCAAAAAGACCTGAAAGCATGGTCTACTAGAGTAGCGGAATCATCAAGACTATAGTAGACCGTGCGTTCGGGCTCTGTAATACGAAGGAAGGCCTCGAGAAGTAATTAGGCAAAAAAGATCTTTAACAAAATGGTTACTCCAAAGTGATGGTAGAACAGACTTTGACTAAAAGAGAGCAAGAACCTCGCAAGGAAGATAAGCTGTCACAACCAGTGCTTGCACTTCCCTTCATCAGAGGATTGTCAGAAAGGATAAGAAGAATTGAATCCGAGTACAACATCAGAACCTGCTCCAGATCCGGAAATACTATCCGCAACACACTCCCGGAAAGCAGGCTACAAAACGCGTACTGCGATTCCAAGAATTGCATTCACCGGATACCCTGTGAGTGCAGCAAATCCTACATCGGTGAAACTAAGAGGCCATTGAAAGTTCGCATTGCCGAGCACAAGAAACACACACAGCGAGGAGAAACCAGCAAATCAGCAATAGCAGATCATGTTTGGACACATCAACATAACATCAAGTGGTCCCAAGCTGAGATCATTCACAGGGAGGAAAACTGGTTTGGGAGGAAATTCAAAGAAGCTGCATACATGTTGTCCAACGACTCAGTCAAGCTAGCGTAGAGATACACAACTTATGGAAACCCACAATAAAGCGGAAAACGGTCATCTCCCGCTAAACCGGTGAAGCGGAGATTGGGATAGGTGAAAGCACTCGCATGACTTATAAATAGTCATCTCTTGAAGGAATAAGTTCAGTCATCACCCGAAGACGATTGTGGATACTAACAATCGAAATGTCGTTAAGTGATTTGCTGTGAAATCTTTGGATTTTTAATTTTTATTTCTTTTCAATTGTTCAATTTTAAATTTTACAGAAAAAAAATCAGGGATTAGATTTTATATAGTTAATGAGTTTTTCTATATTTTGTTTTGGAGGTGTTGAGTTTTAGTTTATTGCGATTCATATACTTGAAAACCTTTCTTAGTTCATAGGACCCTTCTGGTCCTATGATTTGTTTGTCCAGAAAATGGACCAATAAAAAAACTGGTGAAATACACCGGGAAGCAGAACAGGAATCATCCCGGAATAATTACTGGATTACGAACTGGACACTGTCTATTTAGAGAACACCTGAACAAAATAGGGCAAACAAAGACCTTAGTTGCAGGCAATACAATAAGAGACAGCTCGTCATATTTCATGTCAATGGATTACCTGAATCATAGGAGATAAGATAATCCTTAGCTTGCACAAGTTTCGACTTCTGAAATTTGTCGTTCATTAACGGAAAAATATATTTTAATAGGTTTTTTTTGAGAAGCAATTTACGAACAAACCGACTTATATCCAGAAGAACATGACAATCATCCAACAAAGACGAACCTGTAAAGATGGTAGGGCAAAAGTAATAAGCTCATGAAGCTGCAGTTTTTCTGTGTATTTGAAAGAAATGGAAGTCAGACGGCTCCCAAGTAGCGAAAAAATGGACACATCAAAGGAGCGAATATTCCAAAACTCTGAATAAAGAACTGTCAAACATCTGATATTTCATTAAAACATTGGTGATGAGGAAAGTGACAATGTTCCTAAAAATATTATTAATGTAATATTAACAACATTAAATGACTGATGTCTATCAAGATAGAAACTTTTAGAGATCAACAAACCCCAAGTTCATATTGTGAGACTAAATCTTTGTGATTTAACGCTTCAGTTTCAAACAAAAAAGTTATAACAGGCTGTCTATTCAATTGTAGCTTCAAATTGAAATCTTCATTCATTTTGAAACTAATATTACAAATTATTAAATGTTACTCACACTGCACCCGTGCAAATTAACCACTTCGAGCTGGCCACAGAACCTCGCCAAACAAATCACAGCCCTGGATGTTATTTGTTTGCATCCCTTGCTGATAAAACTTTTTAACTTGCAACAACCTCTAGCCAAGGCCTCAACACCATTTTCTGTTATGTTACTGCACCAACTGATATTAATATGTGTCAGGTTAGGACAGCCATCACTCAATGCCTTTAGGGAATTGTCGCTTATTGAAGCACAACTGTCGAGGTTGAGTTTCTGTAGTTTAGGGCAGTGTCGAGAGAAAGCATTGCAAGTGGAATCTGTGAGTTTCTTGCAGCCATTCAGGTTCAGATCTTCGACGTTGGGGCACAATTGAGCTAGAGTTTTCATTGAGCCATCGGCTATGGACTGGCAGCCACGTAGAGAAAGTTGTCGTAGAAACCCACCACATCGCCGAGATATGTTTTCAATTATGGGGCCCTGGAAACAAAATTGTAGCATGATCAATAATACAGAATCTAATTCGCATAATAAAATAAGTATCACAAAACTTATATGAACACAATGTTAAATGAAATCAATTCACGATATCAGAAGTATTTACACCCAACTACACGACTGTTTTAAAATCCGTTCCTGACCACTAATCATCAATAAATTTATCATATGAACTATTGAATGTTTGAACTCATTTTTCTTGTGATGCACTATTTGGAACCTTTGGTGTAGTAATGAATATTACTAAGTTTTTTCCCAACACCAAACCGTTATTTTAAACACCTCGACACGTGTTTCAATCACAAGTGATCATCTTCAAAAGGAAGATGTTCACTTGGTGATCGAAACAGGTGTCGAGGTGTTAGAATAACGGTTCCAAACATTGCATCACAAGAATTCAATTCAATAATAAATGTATTTTCATTATTTTTCTCACAAAAATTAAAACTTTAATGACATATCTATTGTAAAAACGGGAATATTTCCTTCCCGGAATTAGATTCTTCCCAGATTTGTATTAGTGAAGTAAAATATATTTACACATCACATCTCACTGTTGCGAAAAATATTTTCGCCCAATTGGCAGTTTTCAAATAGTAATTTTCGTGCATTGGTTATACAGAGTGGAAAAATATTGGATCAACTTGAATCTTTCCTCATCTAATTCAGTCATCACTTGTCTTTTTTTAGAAAATAAAACATGCAGTGTGGCTACACATTTCATTCGGGCATCCCATTCCTTTGTTGAATTAGTCATTATAAAACTGTTTTGGCTTTTATTGCGTTAATAAAGACCCCAAAATTAGTATTTCTCAAATATCTTCGATGTACAGACAGACAGCAATCAGTTACATTTTTCTTGTATGTACTAATTAAGGAATATAACCATTTATAAATTTTTGTTTCTACTAACCCTGTTTCAGTTTCAGAAGAAAGTAACACTGTTTCTATTCACACCATTTACGAAAGCGACTACAGCCTACTAATATTGTAAAGTATATAAAAACCTGATAGGCAGTGCCTAAACCCATGTTTTAGTTATGACATTTTTAAATCACTTAAAATAGGAAGTTGTTTGAACTCAACTTCAAGTGTTTATGTTCCAGTTTTTTATGGAATCATTTGACAATAGCCTAGGGATTCATGTACTAGATCATCGTTACATTTCAATGTTTTATTAGTGTTATGAAGGGTGAGAGTTCATTGAACTAGTTATTTTGAAATTATAAGGATTTCTTTGCATACTATCATTGTTATTTAAAAACAAAAGTTGTACAATCTTTAGAAACTGTTGATCTATACATTCCATAAAAATGAAATAAATAAAAACACTTTTGTCTAATTACCAACTAGTTAATTTTATTTATACTCATACATTGTAGATTTTTTGTCCAAACAGGCGTATTCACGAAGTCTTACGTAAACATTTCTACTGGTTTGGCCTGTATATACTGCAGAGCATTCGCCACACTCTATTCTATATGAATGAAAAAATCAGGTATATATAGAATAGAATGAGGCGAATGCTCTGCAGTATATACAGGTCAAACCAGTGGACATTTTGGTGTAAGGCTTCGTAAACACACCTGTTTGGACAAAATTTTTACAATGTATGAACATCTTCAGGAATCAAAACACAAGATAAGTAAAGATAACCTCAAACTCCTACACATATGTAATAAAGGGAAAAAATGAATTTGTTGGAAGTCATGGAAATTAACAAATCAATTAAAAACTAGAAATATATACCCCTAAACGAGCAACTCGATTTATGTAGGTCTTCACTCTTGAATTCATAAGTTTAACAACCCCAACAATCTTCAGTTTTGAATTTTAAGGTTGGCACCCTGGTTCGTTCAACTAACTGTCCTTCCATCTCACCTAAAAACTTGATCAGTTTAAAAAAAAAGGGGGTTAAATCCGAAACCAGTTGTATAAATAAAATTAACTGGTGGTAATTAGACAAAAGTGTTTTTATTCTTTCATTAAAGTAAATTATATAAGTATTTTAACAAGATATAGAGTTGTCAGATTTGATATAAGTTGTAATCATTATGAATCTGATGAAATATTGAACAATTTTTCATAATCAAAAGTTGTTTCTGTTGCAAAGTGATAAAAATGTTCATAAATGAAACATTTTAGTTTTGCCAATGTTTCGGACTTTATTAAATCCATCATCCGGTTTCTACAAAAAAAAAACATAAGGAAACAATTTACGCAATAACAATTTCACATAGGTCTAACATAAGGTCATAAGGGTCTAACAACATGAACCTCCTAAAACTACAAACTCAATAATAATTAATAAGCTATCCAGAGAAGACCACTGATTAGAATTGAGCGTTTCTGTCCATCATTTTTTCGAATTGTAGATGATGGAATGATATCAGAGTATAAAAAGAGATGGAAACTTCTTTGGATCAAAATGTTAAGGAATCAGATTCAAGAGTTGTACACTTAACAAAGGTTGAAAATCTAAAATATTATGGTTTGCATAATCAAAAATGTGGTCAAATTGCAATATGCATTGCCCTGATTCAACAAAGCCCGAAACTTTGACAAAAACTAAATTGTTCAACTACAAAAAAATGTTGATCCCTTTCCCAACAAAAACAACATTTGATGAAATTAGTTGGATCACAAAACCTTTATCAATGAATTTTTTATAAAAATGACAAGTGCATCATAAAAATCAGCACAACACACTGAGTTTTTCTTAACGAGTATTGCATTTTAGACTGGATTTGACTTGTAAAATATTCAATAAATATCAAAACTCAACCAACTTTTCTATTATTTCAACTGATGATTATTGTTTTGGATCATTTATAATTTTATCTGGTCTCTGATGATGAATAGGATTTTAATTTAAATCTTTAAAAGATGATATTGCAAAAAGTTATTTGCAATAATTTGTAAATAACTTTTTGTTTTGTTGTCAATGTTATAAATTAACAGGAATATTCAAGAACTTTCTACCTATATTCCATATTTGAGGATTTTACCTCTACATCCTTTTGAAAATCGAATAAATCAATTCGTTGCCAATTCGAACCATCCAAAGCTAGAATATTCCATGCCTTCGAGACTTGAGCACATCGACAAAGGGATACCACGTCTAAATAGGAAAAGATACGCAGAAGTAATTCTTTTGGCAACTTTCTGTTAATTGGTGCCTCATCTTCTACAAACACCTTGTTCAACTGAAACAAAGAATGAAATCAATTACACCATGGAAGAAGTACAAGTAACATTTTATAGTAATATAACAGTCTTGAAGCTATTTTCTGTGTTATATAAGAAGTATATATAATTTTCAACAATATGTAGTGTTTGAAAAATGTCAACAAAGCGGATAAAATGAAAATAATATGCAGTTAAAACAGTAATTTATGGCAATATATCCCCATGTAGAACTCTTCCAGGTTATAATATCTCCTACTCGTTAGTAATTCTCCTGTTCGTCTTTTGAAGGGTACAATATGCAAGTATTTGATGTTTTGAGGTAATGTATGTATGTATGTTTGAGAATGGGTTAACTGCGTTGATGATAACATATCATATACTTCGGTTTGATTAAAAAATACTTCGCAGACCTACCTCCCTCCCCCCAAATAAAAAAAGTTTTTTTAAGCTGAGTTCTTTATGAATTTTTGCGACTAGCGTTCAAATCCCTGGCTCAAATCGTTTATTTCTTGAAGAATTATCGAAAATATCGTTCAATAGTAGTAGTGAAGTAACCTTGAAATTTTTAAATATGAGTGCATATTTAAAATGTGAGGAGTTACGTCCGTAAGTATCAAGCCTCTTCAGGGTTGATAGATAGAAGTAGGTACTTTATAACCTATCTTGGTATTTATGTAATTACCAAAAGGTAGTTCGGCCCAGGCTAGTCGATTATTGTCGGGGCTGGACGTGGGTAAGGAAAATATGTTTTTTTACAGCCGAAAAACAGGGAAGAGGTTGGAGAAATAAACAAAACGTCAACAACGAAGCTCCAAGCTTGAAATTTATATTAAATTGATATATAGAAAGAAATATTTACAAACTTCACTACCAACTGTGTAATAACTCAAAAACTGATTTTTATATGTTATTTGCAACGAACTAATGTAAAAAAACAGGCAAATATATATAGTTTAAAGAACCAATACTTAATACAAAAAACATTCACAGAAAAGATATTAATACGCCGCTATAGGTCGTTTTGATCACGGTATTACTACTGGAGAATTCTTACTTCGGAACAATATTGAATCAAAAGATTCGAGTATTGAACTGACAGAGATAGACCTTTACGTAAATTGAAAATGAAGGAACAAATAAGCAGTTAAAAGTAACTGCCTGAATCTTAATTTATCCAGAATCTACTTTTCGATTAACTTCAATCAAACTCGATAATTATTACCCCCGTCAACAGCTGTCTTAGGTGCACAGAGAAAAGGAAAATGCTTAAAACTATCCTCTAATTTTAGGAATGAACTGTAGATTTCAGTACTCAGACCGCTCCAAAATATATCAACAATATCAGGGTTATCATCATTTTTGATATTTTTTCTTATATACTTGCTACGGCTCTCCGTTGGTACTTTCTAGAGTGTCTCCTCATATCTCAAAGAATGATATGTATGATGCAACTATAGCTTTTCCGAAGAATTTCTCCTATTACCAGGTAAATATGTCTTGAAAGCTTTTTTTACCACCAAAAAATGAATAAAAGGTCTGACAGTGCTCGACGTGAATCTTTCATAGGTGATCTTATTATTCTTGTCCAAAAAACCTTACTTAGATGTTTTTAGGTTTCGGACAGTCCCTTGCTAGAACCTTGCTTTTGTGTTGGCTTTACGATAGGTACTAATCTGAATCGTTTTTGAATTCTGACCGTGAAAATCTCCTCGGTTTTATTTACTCCTGCTCACTAGACAACCCACCATCCCAGCAATATTCTGATAAAATGACGAACCTACAAGGCGGCTCTACTGATTCTTCTGAATTCAGAAATTTAAATCGTTACTTCACCATGATCAAAGCAAATTTACATTCGAATTTATCAATTTTCTTCTAGAACTAATAATCTTGGTTGCATAGTTGAAAAATAAGGAACATTTTTGCAAAAAATCTGAAATGATGTGAACAGGATAATAAAAGAAGAATATAACCATCATCGGTACGAGAATAAGTTAAGGAAACAGATCCACAAGGTTGCCTAATATATAAGAAAGGCTTGGAAGTTTTGAAAGGACTCATTATTTCTGGATTTTATACTGGATTTTGTTGTTATCACTTGTTCGAACCTATCGATGGTTTGTTCGGAATAAAAACATAACGATTTATCTATTTGTGGTTTGTCCGGGAGAAAATCGAAATATATTTCTTAGAAAGACCGTTACGATAAGAGATAAATCATTGTGAAAACTATGGGAAATATGACTCCAGTTATGATAAAAACGCGAGAATATGAAGAATTCAAACTGCTACACAAGAAGTTCAAATGTCAAGATATGAAATACTAATCTGGTGTAAAATCACACATATCAGCAATTTGAATGGACTTACAACATTGTTTAGTTTCCAAGATACTTTGAAACTGCAGATGTACTAAGTTATTTATGAAAGGAAATAAAATAGTTTCATTGCGCATTTACCTCTCCCGAATATTTCGAAAGTTAAGAAAAGATTATTCCGTATATTGGGTGTTATAAAATAGTTTATTGCAGGCGGTCTTACAAAGAACTTACTAAGTAATCTGTTTGCATATATGTACCAGATTACTTATTTTTATACTGTGTTCATTTGTAGATTATCGATAATGCTAGCTTACTACAGTAAAATCAAATTAAATGAAGAACAAAATTCAAAACTGTAGATTTTGGAATATATCACTATATTTTTAACGAAATTGACATTAAGAAAATCCGAATACAATATTACATAAAAAATATTCTGAAAACTGCGTTTTGGAGATTACAGTTCAGAAAATTTAATGTTCACATATCCCCATTTGGCATTTTAGGTTTAATACTATACAGAGTCGATTCTCAATTAGGTATGTGTGTTCTTGTATATTTCGACTGATATGTCGTTAGAATAACGAAATGAAGATTCAGAATAAATTGATGAAAACAAACTATAAGCATTTATTAAAAAATGATCAATAATAAATTAAAAAGGATAAATTGGCACAAAAATTTAAAAAATATAATTACTGTTCTAAATAATCTTTGAATACCTTTAATAGGTTTGAGAACAATAAAATAGATTTGAAGGAATACACTATTTTAGAAAATATTCAAAGTTACCTTCTCTTACATCCATGCAGTTAATATAAATTTTAAATTTTTTACATACATTTCATATATGAAGAAGGAGTGAGACTGACTGATTTAGCTGACTTTGTTACAAAATGTTACTAATGTTGACCCATAATAATTAGGAGTTGCTCCACCTGGCAACGATTCTGTTAGTTTAGGATCGATATTTTTCAATGAATTCAAATACTTATTCTCCACAGGTCAATTTATTTTCAATAAAAAAATATTCAAATAATATACGAGTGTGGTCTAAAACGTTTCCGACCTCAACGTGAAGATAGCATCACTCGTAAATAAAAGTTAGTGAATTTCGTTGTACATTTGTTGACAGTTACCAAAGTTTCAGCCATTTTGGCCATGTAATAGTCGTTTGAGTGAGTTGATGAGAGTGTTTTTATGAAAATCGACAAAATCGAGTATTGAGTTGAAAGGCAATAAGCCTATGCATATCATAGATGAGTTGGTTTCTGTGTATAAGGACTCTGCGTCATCATTTGCTACAGTGGAATTTTGGGTTGCTGAATTACACGTGGCCGTAAGAGCTTGGGAGACAATGAACGTTCGGGACGTCCTAAAACTGCAACTACCGACGAAAACATCTCCAAAGTTCACCAAATGGTGCTAGACGACCTCCGAAGTAAAGTCAGAGAGATAGCAGAGGATATGAACATGTCAAAAGAACGTATTTGTTACATATTAAACAAATATTTTGGCATAAGAAAGTTGTCCGCGCGTTGGGTGCAGCATTTGTTCATGTTAGACCAAAAACGTGTTCGAATGAACATTTCCAACGCTCTGTTGGCGCAGTTTATGCGCAATAAATCCGAGTTTTGGCGCCAATTAATTTCTGTAGATGAAACTTGGACACACCATTATACGCCCAAAACAAAAATACATTCCAAACAGTGGACTGCAAAGAAGGAACCGGCTTTGAAAAAAGAAAAAAATCTTTTTTTGGCCATGAAAGTGATGGCGACTGCTTTTGGAATTGTCATGAAGTTATTCAATCGATTATCTTCAAAAAGGAAAAACCATCACAGGAGCACACTACTCATCATTACTTGATAGGCTGGCTGAAGGCAAAACTTGCGGAAAAACGGCCACATTTGCAGAAAAAGAAAATCCTGTTTCACCAAGACAACGCTCCGTCTCACACCTAAGCGGTTGCCATGACGAAATCCACGAATTACGGTTTGAACTGCTTGATCATCCGCCTTACTCACGAGATCTAGCCCCAAGCGACTTCTTTTTGTTCCCTCATCTAAAAATTGCGCTCGGAGGACAGAGATTTTCGTCAAACGAAGAGGCAATCACCTTCGCGAACAATTATTTTGCAGAGAGTTACAGAGTTAAAAGGAGACTGTTGAAAAAAAATCTGAAAAAAACGTCTTTATCTTTGTTAGGTCGGAAACATTTTAGACCACCCTTGTATCAAACAATATAACTTCAAACACTGAACTTTTCGGGAATTTAGATTAAATAAATCTGCTAATAATTCTCTAGATATTGCTCTCTACAAGAAATTACCATCCAGTTGGAAGATTCTAGATTGCTTCAAAAAATAAAATAAAAAGATTTCTTTCAGAAAATGGAATCTATTCAATTCGTGAGTATATGGACACACCTGTCAGCGATACGCGTAGTTGTAGTAATACCTGAAATAGTTATGTTATTGATTCCATGTGGAGTTTAGATCCACAGGACCTTGCGAATGTACATCTTTTTGGACCTGCTACAAATATACATTGTATTTACGTAGTTAATAAAGTGTTAATAAAGTTATCTGTCTATCTATCTATCTATATGATTCGAGAAACCGTGACGACTCGTTCCATGGAAAATAAACTAAAAAACATTTTCACTTCCATCGAGCTGCACTATAATACTTGCTGTAATTGTTCAAAATGAAATCATTTATAGTAATAATTATTGTTATACAAGGGTACTGAACCAAGGAGCATCACAGTACTCCTTGGCTATGATAGGCCCAGAACCCTTCTGCGGAGTAGCGAAAGCATGTGTAAAGACATCCATAAATTCATGGATGCTAGCCGAATTGATGGATTGGTGGAATAAGCTCCCAGGAATGAGGCAGGCGAAAGAGTTCATAAAGAAACCATTGCCCAGATTCATGGAAGACCTGCTAAACCACAACTGTAAAGTTGTAAGGGTAATGATGGGCCTAATAACAGGGCATAGCCGACTCTGTCAAGAAGAGGACGAAACCGCACTGCATCTGCTCTGTGAATGCGAAGCGATAGCAAGGCTGAGACACGCAAGATGCGGGGAAGAGAAACCAGAGGTTGCCAGCTATATGAAGGTGTCAGTGTCGAAGCTATGGAGTCTCATCAAAGAGATCAAGATAGAAAATGAGCTCTGACAACCAATGAGCACCAAAATAGATCTGAAAAGGTCGCAGTGAATCAGGCCATGGGCTAGCTCCCCGACAATCTAATCTAAGGGTACTGAATGTGAAGACTTCCAATTAATGTTATAATCAACGAAGCTTTCACGAATAGTGTTTATATTGATTTAAAAATTGAATAGAGGGCATTCCACATGTGTTCATATAGTATTTATTTAAAATGGTGGGATGGCTTTTCCAGAGGATTTATCCGCAATATTGAATTATGTGGCAATAATGAATTATGTGACAACAATGAAGTGTTACATGAATAATCTGATGTTGATGTTCAATAAAAAACTAGTGATAAATATTATGGCTGATGACATGCCTACTGGCTGGCTCTTCCTTCACAACTTCAATCTAAAAACGAAGCGATTTAGTAGTCTGGGTCAAAAAGGGGGGGTTTGGTTTTCTGCAAATACCTCGGAAAATATTAAAGATATCCGAAATTCGAAAAAAGATCCTTAAAGAGGACATTTCCTAAACAAAAGTCCCACCTCCCGGAACTCTATCACTAATATTTATAATTTTAATT